TGGCGCAAGGCAGAGAGAGAGAACACAAAGATGGTGCGGGCCAGGCTCCCAAGCGTGTGTCCATCACATGCCTGCCCCACCAGCCGACACTCCCCAACCAGCACACCGGCGGCTCCAACACCAAGTCCAAGTTGGGGCACCGCACCTGGGGCTGCTGCTACGCTGGGCCCAGTAGCGGTTGATCCCCCTCTTTGTATTTATTGGAGCTGGAGGTACTGGGGCAGTGCAGTATGTCATATGCCTGACATTGTTCAACCCAGATGTCTGTTGGGACAAAAAGAATAACCCAGAACCCTGGAACAAGCTGGGTCCCAATGAGCAATGTAAGTTCTACTCAGTGAGTGTATATTACAGCAAACTGAGGAAAGAAGGTCCAGAGTTCTAAATGAAATGTTTCAGTATGAAGCTGCTTAGAATGAAGGCCTTCCAGAAGCCATCCGCACAATTTTCCACTTAACCAGGAAATATTTTCCCCAAATACATGGAATCATGTTGGTGTATTCTGTTGGGGTTTACACTGATTAATAAATGTTTGAAACTTAAAAAAAAAATCCTCAAGGTACTCTAGGTCACAACTGATGGGAGAAGAATGCAGCGCCTGTTCTGTCCATCTGCTGGCAGTAGAGATCAAGGTCAAGGCTCCCCTGTAAGGGTGCCTTTTTTAGGTCTCCATAGACCTAAGGACTGTGATGAGGACAATGCAGGCCGCTGTGGCTGGCAGCAGAGGGCAGTGTGTCCCAGCCAGGATGGCCTAGGAAGCCTCCAAGGAGGTGGCGTTTGAGCTGAGGCCCGAGTGATAAAGGTCCAGGATGCAGCTGATGCCTGTGTTTCCTTTAGCTCCAGAAATCTCCATGAAGAAGAGGAAATTGGGGAAGAACCCAGATGTGGACACAAGCTTTTTACCTGACCGTGACCGCGAGGTAAAGGCAGCATGACCCCAGACCTGGCCTTGACCTTCCAGAGACTTGTACTCAGGGAGTAGGGCCCTGTGTGCCTTCTGAGCAGCCTTGAGTTTCCCGCCTATATCCCTTTCCTCTCCCAGGAGGAGGAGAATCGGCTCCGGGAAGAGCTGCGACAAGAATGGGAAGCCAAGCAGGAGAAGATCAAGAGTGAGTGCTCACCAAGTGGGACCTGCATGGCCCAGTCTGGGGCGCTGGGGTGGTGAGAGCCCGGGGCTGGGGACTGAGCCCAGGGAGCTTGTGCAACCTGGGGACACGTGGTTCTGGAGGCCAAGTGGTAATTCTGCTTTGTAGGTGAGGAGATTGAAATCACCTTCAGTTACTGGGATGGCTCTGGGCACCGGCGGACAGTCAAGGTGGGTAGTGCGGGGCTTGCACCCCACTACCTGTGTTCCTAAGATTCAATGAGGAGGAGCTTCAAGCCTGAATTTGGAACCCAGCAGGCCCCTTCATGGGGTGGCCTCTGTGGATCCTGAGGGGAGCAGGGAAGGGAGCCTGGCCACCTGCGATGGTAGTGAGGGTTCTGGGGTCCCTGGCAGGGGCCTGGAGGCCAGGGGGCCTTCTTGAGAGCCCTTCTCCACAGACTCATGTTTCCCTCCCAACCCTTTGGCATCCTGGGTGCTGGCTCTGCGGCCCATTCATGCAGATGAAAAAAGGCAACACTATGCAGCAGTTCCTGCAGAAGGCACTTGAGATCCTGCGCAAAGACTTCAGTGAGCTCAGGTAGGGCTCATGAGTCAGTGTGAGCATGTGTGTGCGTGCTCATGGAGCCTGTAGTTCCAGCCCTGGTACCAGAACCCTCACATGGTGGCTGCTGCTTGTGGCACACAAGGGTGACTACTCCCTGAGTAGGAAGGGGGCATACTGGTGCTATGCTCCTAAGAAGAGGGTCAAGACTCTTCTTCCATTCCTCTCACCTTGTGCAGCTCAGGTGGGAGCCTTGGCCTTAGCCTTTTAACCTAGAGATGGAGTACAGTGGGTGCTACGCCTGGGCTCACCCAACCCCGCAGCCTGCCCCAAAGCAGCTGGGGTTGTCTCCCAGCTCTGGCACTGGTCTCCTTGGCGGGCTGCTTCCTCATCCATCCACACCCTCCTGCCTTTCTCCCTCAGGTCAGCAGGGGTAGAGCAGCTCATGTACATCAAGGAGGATTTAATCATACCCCACGTGAGTCCCCTCTCTCTTCCCACAGCCCTGGGCAGGGTGGCAGTGGGAGGGGTGGTGAGCTTGGGCATGCTGGGGGCTTTGTGGGACAGCCTCTGCTCTGCTCTGGGGCCTCGGCCTGGGCTGGGGGTACAGTGTGTGGAACTGTGCCTGCCTCCAGCTTGCGGGTTGGCAAGGATGTGGGAGAGGCTGGGATGGGTCATCAGCCATGGCTTTCCTGCCCTCTGTCCCTAGCACCACAGCTTCTACGATTTCATCGTCACCAAGGCACGCGGGAAGAGTGGTGAGTGTGCCTGGCCCTGCCACTTCCCCTCCTCAGCAGCTTGCCCCCAATATATCAGGGCAGCAGCCTGAGGGTGAGTCGGCTGCTTCTCCCCTGCAGGGCCGCTCTTCAATTTCGACGTTCATGATGACGTGCGGCTGCTCAGCGATGCTACTGTGGAGAAGGATGAGGTGCAATGGTGCTGGGATGCTGGGCCAGGGGAGGAAAGAGCAGTGGAGGGAAGGAGAAGTGGAGAAGTCAGGCCCCCAGGTGGCCCCGAGCCACAAGGCCTGGCTCTTCTCCCTTCCTCAGTCACACGCGGGCAAGGTGGTGCTAAGGAGCTGGTATGAGAAGAACAAGCACATCTTCCCTGCCAGCCGCTGGGAACCATACGACCCCGAGAAGAAGTGGGACAAGTACACGGTAAGGAGGCCCCTCTGAGGTGGCCCCAGGACTGGGCCAGTCAGTTTGAGCTGGGGCGTGGGAGCCGGCCTGGTGGGTGGTGGTCTGCATTGTTCTGCTAGAGGACCACACGTGATGGGCAGACCTACCCCCACTCAGCTTGGCTTTACTTTTCTGTCCCTTTGTCCTCACACCAGATCCGGTGAATGCACAGGTGGGGCAGGCTCACTCTCCCAGTTCCCTCCAGTCTGCCCACTGCCCGGGTCTCCAGGACTCTAGATGCCCGACTCCTCCCTCCTGTGACGTCACCGATCATCCCCTGCCCCTGATGCTGTCATTTACTTCTTTTTTCTTTTACGATAAAGAAATGCACATGGCCTTGACCAGTGTGGCTCAGTGGCTTGGGCTTCGTCCCATAAAGTGAAAGGTCACTGGTTTGATTCCTGGTCAGGGCACATGCCTGGGTTGTGGGTTTGCTCTCTCACCCCCCCCAACCCCCATCGGGTGCATATGAGAGGCAACCCATCTATGTTTCTCTTGCACATTGATGTTTCTCTCCCTGTCTTCCTCCCTTCCCCTCTCTCTAAAAAGAAATAAATTAAATCTTAAAAAAAAAAGAAATGCACATGTCAGAGTCAGAGCACCTGTACTGTGTTCTATATTTTAAAAGACACATGTTTGTAGATAAACTTCACATAACCAAGTTCACATTTGGGCCATTTGCAAGTGCACACTCAGGGGTGCCTGGTGCATTGCCGATGTTGTGCAGCCATCTCCTCTGTCTAGTACTGAAATACTTCTAGCACACCCCGACCAGAGACCTCAGACCCATTAGCAGTCTCTCCCCCAGCCCCTGGCACCCCCTAATCTCCTTTCTGTCTGTATGGATTTGCCTATTCTAGAAGTTTCACATAATACAATAATACAATATTTGTGGTCTTGGTGTCTGGCGAGAAAGTGTGTGTTTGGTGGTAGGGGGACGGTGAAAGAGGATGGGTGGGGATGTGGGTCTGTGGAGGGAGAAGGGGGGCATTTGCAACCCACAAGGGCCCCGGCATGTCCAGCTGTGCCCGCAGCCAGCCTGCCCTCCTCAGTGCACCTACGTGGCATTGTGGTTTTTTGCTGTAAGCGGGAGGGGCGTTCTACTGTAAGCCTCCCTCCCAGGTCCTTGGGCTCCTCTTGTGTCTCCAAGCTGCTTATTCCATAGGGAACAGGGCTGTCTTGTGGTTCCTAGCCACCCAACATCGCTATCAGAGCTATGCAAACCCACCCTTGCCGTCCTTGCCCTGGGCCCTTCCCAGCATGTCTCCTTACTCCCGGCATGGGAAGACTGCTGTGAATGCCCTGTGGCAGACTGCCCTGGGGCTGGTTGCTTTCATGGCCCCAAGGGTGGAATCTGACTTAGGGGTGGGTGCTCCCTAGTTCCCCTTGGGTAAGCTGGGGCAGGCCAACCTGCCTCCAGGAGGCTGAGGAAGGCAAGCTGACCACAACTTGCTCCTGCCCTTCTTCCCCTTGCCTGAGACCAATTGGAGGGGACAGGGCACAGCTCCTGGCTGGTAGGGAGCTTCCCAGCTCTGACTGTGGCCCCACCTCACAGGCGAATGTGTGGGCTTTGCTGAGCACAGAGGCCTTATGCCCTTTTCCTCCCACAGGTGGGCCCCTGTGTCCTGTTCAGCCACAGCCTGGGGAGGCCTGGCTGGCAGCTCGGAGCTCTCAGGCCCCCAGGCCCTGAGTCTGGGATGTGGCCATCTGGGATCACTGGGAGGAGGGAGGAGGGCCAGAGCACCTCGGGCACAGCAGGGAAGGGGTGGCCAAGCCTGACCCTAGGTCGCGAACAAGTCTGGTGAGCCTCAATAGGACCTTTTGTTCAGTTCCAGGAACCCTGGAGAGGGGATTGTTTGGCCTTCTGCACCAACCCCCTTCTGCATTCTTTGAGAGGCTTCGCAGGGCATGGACCTCTCCCAGCTAGTTTGCCCAGTGGCAGATGGTTTCTGAGGGAATCTCCTTCAGCCTTGCACCCTCTGGAAAACAAGCTCCTGGAGGCTCAATTTTGGGTAGTGGCAGGGAAGGACTTAGTTTCTGGAACCCCCTTAGGTCCCAAGGCAGGAAGAAGCCCTTTGGGGTCAGGATCAAGGAGCAGGGGGACTGTCACTGTCAGGGAAGGAGACTTCCTTATGGCCAGTGAAGAGAAAGGTTGCACCATGAGGGGGGATCCCAAGCGAGGAGCTCTGTGTCTTAAATAAGACCTGTGGCAGCAGTCTGGAAGGCCAAGCTGAAGAGTGTTGGTGGAGCAAGCTTCTTGCAGCTGTCCCCCGAGTTTTTGCTCAGACTGGGCACTGTCTAGCTCCAGGGCTCTCTCCTGGGACCAAATGAACATGGATCTCAGAGGCGAGGTCGGGCGGCTGCACAGAAGTTGGAGAGCTGCTGTCTGATGCTCTGGAACTACATGAGGTGACTGAAGTCGGTAAGCAGTTGACAATATTTCTGGGGACCAGTGTGCCAGAGCCAGAGGTGGGCTAGATCCCAAAGACACAATGGAGAGAGGAAGGCCAGCCCTACCTTACTTGCCCAGCTTTCACTCAGTGTGTGTGTGTAGGTGTGTGAATGTATGTGGATATACACAAATAGGGGAACAAGAAATGAACAAGCAAGATGGAGAGACCTTGCTGGCGTGGTGACATTGAAGCTGACAAGAATGACAAGTCAGTCATTTCAAAGCTAGGCAGGATGCAAACCATATGCAAAGACACAGTGGGGTGGGGGGGCTGGAACAGAGGGAAGAAGGGAGGGGAAGGAGAGGCTGGGAGGAAAGGTCACAGAGGTAGTTGAGTGAGAAGAGGGGATGCTGATCTTTCCTTGTTTACCTTGAACTGTTCTTCAGACACTAGAAATTCACCTGGTTCACACATCAGCATGAAAGGGTGGGCATGGGGATGCCTCTCCTCCACCCACCCCTCCTGGCCCAGTTCCCACAATGCCCCCAACACAGAAGCACTTGCATCTGTCACTTAATATATCCAAATATCCTGCGTGCCTCTCCATGTCTTTGTGTGCAGAGCCTCCTCATTAAAAAAAAAAAATCAGTGTAATTGATTTTCCAGATATTCACAAGTTCTTTTCCCTAAGGCCTGACTGACCTTGCAGCCCCACCAGCAGGGGAAAGGGTCCTGGCTGCCTGAGCTCTGCCCAGAGCGCTCTCACTTCCCAACAAGGGGCGTATGCAATATGAGATGGACATGTGGTATCTTAGTGTGGGTTTGATTTTTTCATTTTTTTCAACTAAGGAAAAATTCACATAAAAATAAGCATTAACCATTTAAAAATGAACATTTTGGTGGCATTTCATACATTCACAATGTTGTGCAACCATCACATCCATCTCATTCCAGCACATTTCATTACTTCAAAAGGAAACCCCATACCTATTAAATGGTCTCTCCTCATTCCCCTTCCCCAGCCCCTGGAAACCACCAATCTACTTTCTGCCTGTGTAGATTTGCCTGTTCTGGAAGTTTCACATAAATGGAATCATACAACTAAAGATCTACATAGATGGAAATACATTCCATGTTCATGGATTGGAAGGCTCAGTACTGTATTAAGTTTCAATTGCCTGTAAGAAATTAACAAAAACTCAGTAGCTTAAAACAATACTCATTTATTACCTGACAGTTTCTGCATGTCAGAAGTCTGAGTGTAATGGAAGTGGATCCTCTGCTCAGGGTCTCACAAGGCTGCAATCAAGGCTGACTGGGCTGCCTTCTTATCTGAGGTTCAGGGTCCTCTCCCAAGTTCACGTGGTTGGGGGTAGAATTTGGTTGCTTGTGACCGTAGGACTGAGGTCCCTATCCTCTCATTGGCTATTGGCCAGAGAATAGTTTCGGCTCCTAAAGGCCACCTAAGGTTCCCTGCCATCTGGTCCCCTCCATAGCCCCTCGTGCTTTGAATCTCACCCTTCACGAAGGACCCAGTCTTGGTTACGGACTCACCTGCTTAGGTCAGGCCCACCCAGGTACTCTCCCCTTTGATGACCTCAAAGTCAGCTGATTAGTAGCCTAACCTTGGAAGTGATGTCCCACCTTGTGCAGAGGTTCTGCTTGGCCTCAAGGGGAGGGGATTGTATAGGTTTGTATGCTAGGAGACAGAAACCTTGTGGTCATTGTAGAATTCTGCCCCCAAATGACAACCCTTCCCAAAGTGATCTTTGAATTCTATGCAATCCCTACCCAGAATCCCAGCATGCTTTTCTGTAGAAATTGACAAGTGGACCCTCAGAGTATATAGAAATGCAAAGGACCTAAAATATCAAAAACAATTTTAAAAACAACAGATTTGGAAGGATCACGTTACCTGATTTGAAAATTTACTATGAAGCCACAGTAATCAAAGCAGTGTAGCACAGGTGCAAGGATGGCATAGAGGGAGATGGCACAGAATTAGGATTCTAGAAATAAATCCTTACATTTATGGTGTTTTAAAATTTTTTTTTAATTTATTTTAAATCCTCACATGAGGCTATGTTTATTGATTTTAGAGAGGGAGAGAAGCATCGATTGGTTGCTTCCAGTACATGCTCAGAAAGGAATGGAACCCATCAGCTATGACCGTGACCTGACAGGGATCAAACCTGAAACCTTTTGGTGTACGGAACGATGCTCCAACCAAGCCACTCAGCCAGGGCTATGATGTTTAAGAAATGGTGCTGGCAACCTGACTGGTGTGGCTCAGTTGGTTGGGTACTGTCCCTCAAAACAAAAGGCCGCCAGTTTGATTTCTAGTCAGGGCACATGCCTGGGTTGCAGGGGGGCTCTGTGCCCCATTGGGGTGTGCAAGAGGCAAGCAATGGATATTTCTCCTACAGGTCAATGTTTCCCTCCCTCTCTTTTTCCCTCCCTTCCCCTCCCTCTAAGAATAAATAAATAAAGTCTTCAAAAAAATAAAAGAGAGCCCTGGCTAGTGTGGCTCAGTGGATTGAGTGCCAGTCTGCAAACCAAAGGGTCACCAGTTTGATTCCCAATCGGGGCACATGCCTAGGTTGTGGGCCAGGTCCCTGGTGGGGAGCACGTGAGAGGCAACCACACATTGATGTTTCTCTCCCTCCCTTTCTCTTTCCCTTCCCCTCTCTAAAAATAAATAAAATCTTTTTTTTCTAGAAATAGAGAAATGGATTTTCAACTTTTTAAAAAAGATTTTATTTATTTATTTTTTAGAGAGGGAAGGGAGGGGAGAGAGAGAGAGAGAGAGAGAGAGAGAGAGAGAGAGAGAGAGAGAGAGAGAGGGAGAGAAACATCAATGTGTGGTTGTTGGGGGCCATGGCCTGCAACCCAGGCATGTGCCCTGACTGGGAACTGAACCTACAACACTTTGGTTCGCAGCCTGCGCTCAATCCACTGAGCTACACCAGCCAGGGCTAAAAAAAATAAATAAAATCTTTTAATAAATAAAGAAATAAAACAGAAAGGCAGGCATACCTATCTACACCATGCCCCTCTCCTTTATTGGAGACTGAATAAAAACTTTATTCTCTACACTTTCTTCTCTTTGTGAATTCTTTCACAGCCCGCATCACCGATCACATTTTGGTGGCCTACATGGGGACATTCTCTATTTCTCTCTCCTCTGGCCTCCTGAGACTTGCAACTAGGGGAGCAGTGGGCAAAAGAAGCTCAACCCGGCTAACCCCCTAACCCTGTCTCAATGAGGTTCAGAGAGGGGATTCTAATCCTTCTCTGTCTCTCCAGGCTCTGTGGACGGCCTCCTCCTCACTCAACTTCATGGCCATCGATCAATTTTCTAGAAATTTCAATCTGCTCTGGGAAGAACTTGCAAAGACTCAGAACCGAAGCTCTCAGGGATAGCAGTGTCCTGTCAGTGACATTGGAGAAGCCAAGAGTGATGGTTCCCTGTGGGGACATCAAGCAGTGGTACTCTGGGTGTTTGTAACCCACACATTGGGAATCTATGTATTGTTTCCAATGCTCAATGCACACTTCTTGTAAGTCCTGTATAGCACTTTAAAACCTTGCATATTGTTAGGTCTTTATATATATTAACATTACATGTTAAATATAAAACTATGAGCTTTATATTGTTATGTCATCTCAGTAATTATTACTTATCAACAAGTTGTTATCTTGAAATACTTTTTTTACAAAGAAGCAAAGTTATTTATTAATTGTATTTGTATCGAATCTACAACCATGTCATTTTAAATTTGGTAATTTATAAACAGTCACTGTTTTACTCTAATGCATTTGCAAATGTATCTTTGGGTAGGCTCATGAAAAAGATGCTGACTTACTCTAAATTACATGTGTCTAAGCAGGTCATGGAAATACTGGCAAAGAATCAAGACAAACAAAATTGGTTATATGGGACTAAATGAACTACAGATCATTGTTCTTCTTATGACTTTGTTCAAGATATTGCTAATTTTAAATCTTTTTGTTTCCCAGATATAAGGAAACTTTTCCCCCCTAGACCATTTATAAATTATACGCCCATAAACAATACTGAAACGTTTCTATTTTTCTCACTATCCATCCAGAATTTGGCAACTCTTGATGAGTGAGTATTATTTTCATGGTAACATATATGTTTGCATAAACCCAATAATAGCACCAGTTTCCAAATGTGGTTTTATTAACCAAGTCTTTGTCTGGAATATCATGATTGAAAGAGTCATGCTTGGACTCTGGATGTCCCCAGAAAGCCTTAAGGAGTTAAGATTGATTCTCAAAGCCATTAAAAGCCCCTTGGAGAAATGGTCTGGTACCTTGCTTTTTCACGTGGTTCATGGCAGCCTTTACAGGTAAGGAACAAAGGTTGCTTCCCTGACAAATGGCAAGAAAGGAACCTGAAGACAATGGGAGACCTCAAGAACTTGAGGAATCCACTCAAACTAATAGATGCTTCAGTCAAAGCCAGATGGCAGCTGTGTGGCTTGGCTTCTTTGCCCTGAGAGGCTGACTAAAGCTCAGCCTGAAGGTTCCTTGCAAAATTCCAGCAAAGCTGATTTTTTAAAAATTATTTATTTATTTATTTATTTATTTTTAGAGAGGGAAGGGAGGGAGAAAGACAGAGAGAGAGACATCAATGTGCGGTTGCTGGGGATCATGGCCTGCAACCCAGGCATGTACCCTGACTGGGAATCGAACCTGCAACACTTTGGTTCACAGCCCGTGCTCAATCCACTGAGCTATGCCAGCCAGGGGCAAAGCTGATTAAAAAAAACACAACATTTTATTTATTTATTTTTAGAGAGAGGGGAAGAGAAGGAGAAAGAGAGGGAGAGAAATGTCAGTATGTGGTTGCCTGCTGTGCACCTCCCACTGGGGAGGTGGCCCATAATCCAGGCATGTGCCCTGACTGGGAATCGAACTGGGGACCTGGGGACCCTTTGCTTCACAGGCCCATGCTCAATCCAGCCAGGACCAGCAAAGCAGATTTAAAAGAGCCTAAATGATCAATTACTATTCTCGTTGTGTTCATGCAAATAACAGTCCAAATTGAAACTGGACTTAATACAGTCTCTTTGATAAAATAAGGGTGATTTTAGGAAGAGAAACTGTGTTTCAGTGGAAATCACAATGTCCAATTATCACCCACAAACTGATTGAATCCTAATTTTTCTAGTTTTCTTCCAAGCTAATGCTTCATTTGTTTCATCCTTTGACTTGGAATTATTGAGAGCTACTGATGTAGTGTCAGCCATACAGAATTTACCTACTATTCTGACTCTCCCTTTTTGGAATCTTAAGTTCAATATCTGCTCTTGGTTTTCCTGACTAATTCCTTCCTAAGACCTATTAGCAGCTTTTTTCTTCTTGTTTTTAGGCCATGTCTCTTCAAATATTTCATATCCTTCATTCAACAGAGTGTCCAGGCTCTGGAAGATTCTCTCCACAAATGGCCTCCAGTCACACCTCTTGCTTTATGGGCTGTCCAATCCCACCTCTTCTCCTTAAGGACCCAGACCCAGACCCATAGACAGGGACAGCTCCACATTCCTAGCCCATCTGAAGTAGTTACAGAAGAAGAGACCTTTGTATTTACTCCCCAGAACCAGAACCGGGCCAGGTCATTAAGAATAAATCTATTTTAAAACCTATTTAAAATAAATTAGATTGAGATTAGATAAATTAGATTAGATTTAAAATAAATCTATTTTAAAAGAGTGGGAAATGAAAGGGTAAAACCAGCACCATGTGCTTCCATGGTACCATTTGCTGAGCAGGCCTATGACCTTGTTAAACATGACTGCCATTTTCCTCTTCTGAGCTTGTCCCCAGGACTGGAAATTACTGGAAAGCAAAAACAGAACGTGATTAACCTCTCCCTGCAGCCACAGGCAGAAGACAACATTGGAACAAATTGCAGCCTCTGTTACAATGCCCCAACAGCCCAGGGCCACATAACAGCATCCCCTTCACCCTTTCAGTCCAATTATAATCCAATAAAAGCTCAAAGCCCCCACCCATCAGTGCTGGTGTGTCTCTCCACACCATGCCCCTCTCCTTTCTTGGAGAGTGAATAAAATCTTTATTCTTTAATAAGTAAGTAAATAAATAAATAAATAAACAAACAAATAAAAGAAATGGTGCTGGCCCTGGCGGGGTAGCTAAGTTGATTAGAGAGCCGTCCCCATACGCTAAGTGGCAGATTGGATCCCAGATCATACAAGAATCAACCAATGAATGCATAATCAAGTGGAACAACAAATCACTGTTTCTTCCTCTCTCTCCCTTCCTCTCTCTCTTTCTCTCAAACAATAAATCAAATAATAAAAAAAAAAAGTAGTACTGAAACAGTCGGATATCTGAATGGAAAAAACAAATTTATTTTTTAAATTATGTTTTATTGATTAAGCTATTACAGTTGTCCTGATTTTTCTCCCTTTATCCCGTCCACCCAGAACCCCCCACTCCCTCAGGCCATCCCCCCACCATTGTTCATGTCCATGGGTCATGTGTGTAAGTTCTTTGGTTACTCCATTTCCTGTACTGTACTTTAGATTCCCATGGCTATTCTATAACTACCTATTTGTACTTCTTAATCCCCTCACCTCTTCACCTATTACCCCCCACACCTGCCCCCCCCATCTGGCCACCATCAAAATGCTCTCTTGTATCCATAATTCTGTCTTTGTTCTTCTTGTTTGCTTAGTTTTATTTTTAGATTTAATTGTTGATAGATATGTATTTTTGCCATTTTATTGTTCATAGTTTTGATCTTTTTCTTAAAGAAGTCCCTTTAACATTTCATATAATAATGGTTTGGTGATGATAAAGTCCTTTAGTTTTTTCCTGTTTGGGGAGCCCTTTATTGGCCCTTCAATTTAAATGATAGCTTTGCTGGATGGGAAATCTTGGCTGTAGGTCCCTGCTTTTCATGACTTTGAATATTTCTTGCCAATCCCTTCTAGCCTGCAAAGTATCTTTTGAGAAATCAGCTGACAGTCTTATGGGAACTCTCCTGTAGGTAACTAACTGCTTTTCTCTTGCTGCTTTTCAGATTCCCTTTTTAGCCCTGGCTGGTGTGGTTCAGTGGATTGAGCACTGGCTTGAAAACCAAAGGGTCTCCAGTTTGATTCCCAGTCAGGGCACATGCCTGGGTTGTGGGGCAGGCCTCCAGTAGGGGTTGCTCAAGAGGCAAGCACACATTGATATTTCTCTCCCTCTCTTTTTCTTTCCCTTCCCCTCTCTAAAAATAAATAAATAAAATATATATTTTTAAATTCTCTCTTTGTCTTTAACCTTTGGCATTTTAATTATGATGTGTCTTGGAGTGGGCCTCTTTGCATCCATCTTGTTTGGGACTCTGTGCTTCCTAGACTTATAAGTCTATTTCCTTCACCAAATGAGGGAAGTTTTCTTTCATTGTTTTTTTGAATAGACTTACAATTTCTCTTTATCTTCTCCTTCTGCCACCCTTATGATGAGCAGTTGGACCTCTTGAAGTTTTCCCAGAGGCTGCTTATACTATCCTCATTTTTTTGTATTCTTTTTTCTTCTTGTTGTTCTGATTGGTTGTTTTTGTTCACTTATGTTACAAATCATTGATTTGATTCTCAGCTTCATCCACTCTATTGTTGTTTTCCTGTAAATTGTCCTTTATTTCAATTAGTATATCCTTCATTTCTGACTGGGTCTTTTTTATGCTGCTGAGGTCCTCACTAAGTTCCTTATAATTGGTGTTTTGAACTCTGCAACTGATAGATTGCTTATCTCCATTTTGTTTAGCTCTTTTTCTGGAGTTTTGGTCTATTCTTTCATTTGGGCCATGTTTCTTTGTATCCTCATTTTGACAGCCTCCCTGTGTTTGTGTCTATGTATTAGGTAGAGTTGCTTTGATTCTGTGTCTTGGTAGCATGGCCTAATGTACTAGGTTACCTGTAGGGTCCAGTGGCACAGCCTCCCCTATCACCCAAGCTGGGTACTCGAGGTGCATCCATCGTGTGAGCTGAGTACACCCTCCTTTTGTAGTTGAGCTTTGGTTGCTGTCAGCAGATCAATGGGAGGGATTTACCCAGGCCAGTGAGCTGCAAGGACTAGCTGTGACCACTGACCACCAACCTTTGCCCTCTGTGGAGGATTAGGTGTGCAGGGGGCAGGGTGGTGGTGCTCTGACGTTGTCTGTAGCTGTCCACTGGGTGTGCAGGCCCTGGGGTTCCCTGAGTGGTGCAGGCCAAGGTCAGCCCCCGCCTATGTTTTGCCCAGGGCCACCTTGCCTGGGCTATAAAGCAATCTGAGAAGGCTGCTACTTGTGCTGGGCTTGGAGATTCCCAGGCAAAGCCAAGCTGTGAATCTCGGCTGTTTGCTGCTAGTGGTTGGCCTGGAACTCACTGAGGCCAGCTGGTCCTTGTTTGAGAGGATTTAGGAAGTTGTGCAGTATGAGCCAACACCAGCCATTCATATGGAAAATCAGCTTAGGTGGGCTCATAAGTTGAGTGTGGCAGAGTCTCTTGGGATCTCCAAGGTGGGTCAGTGTTATCTAGGTTGATGGAGTTTCAGATATGGTACCAGCTTGCAGGCTCTGTGGCTTTTTTAGGGGGAAGGCTTAAAAAAGGGACAGTGGCCTCTGCTGTCCTTGATGTCAGAAACTTCAATTTCTCCCTGTATACCACTGGTACCTTTCACGCTGCTATTCTGGTGCTGGAGCTCAGAGGGAGTGAGTCTGAGTAGGTGAGTCTGTGTGTGGGTTCTTCAAGAGGAACTGCTTGGGGCTCCAGCAGTTTCTTCCTCCACCTC